CGTGGAAACCAGAGAGTGATAGGCTTCGGCCACCAAGTGAGTGTGGGACACCACCATGGCCTTCCACTCAGAGGTCTCCAGGATGTCAGAAACATGAAAATTGATGAAATCCAGTGTCCGGGTTTTCAACTGATGTGCACTGTGGAGGTCAGCCAAGATGAGGATTTCCACGGCATTCTCCACAGAGAGGTTGCTGCACAGGTGGTTCTCACACATGAGCTTCAGGCGCTCCAGACCAAACCTGCTTGCAGCCTCCAGCAGTTCAGTTGCCATGATCCCTAGGTTTGGTGCCTTTCCAGTGTACATAAAGTATATCATTTCCTTAAAAACTTCAGGATCCATGTCACTGATTTCAACACGATTCTTTTTGCTTCCTTGCTTTTCATGTTCCAACAACGCCATGAAAACTGGAGAGCGAGCTGCTAAGATGGCTTTGTGAGCCTGGAATTCCTGGCCAGCCACACACAAGCAACAGTCTGAGAGCTGGGATCGCTCCCACAGTCCTCCTAGATCCTCTGCCAAGCAGCCCTCAGGAACCTTAACCAGCTTCCTAATATTCTGGCTGGAATGATTGGTGGGATCTTGTGCTACTTTCACTTCACAGAAGAAGGAAAGCTTGTCATTGGAGAGAAGCCCATTGTTTGGATCCAAAAGAAACTCTCTAAGGATGAAATGTTTGAATCCCCAGTCCTTTCCTCGCACAAATGTATAAGCTTGTGGACTTGAGAGCACCTTGGTTTTCTCTCCTTTGGCATTCAGAATGGAAAAGGTGAATTTTGCATGAGCTACCCTCCTTGGACAGCAGATCATTCCCAGGTATAAGCACACATAATCTTTGCTTTGTTCATCAAGACCATTTGGGTAGAGTCGTAAGCACCATTTCACTTGATCATTTCCTTCAGCTGAAAAGATTGAACTTTGAATGCAGTCATCTATTTCCTTTAGGCAAAATCTAATGTTATCAATGGTCCACAAAAAGGACACCTTCACTACTTTGATGTCTGTGGTGTACCTGCTGTCCACTGTGGGCCCCTGTGACATTTCTGCTGGGCCTGCGGTACTGGAAACCATTAACATCAGCAGAGTGATAGTGCAGCAAGCTTGTCAAGTCACAGGAGTCAAATTTCTTCTTCACCAGATGGCACAAATTTCACTGCAGTCAGCAGTTCCAAGACAGGCAGGGCAGTATGGCAATCACAAGTAGAGAGCCTAGTTTATAGATTAAAAGAAATACTTATTTAGAAATAAGCTGACTGAAATTTCCTAGTATATAAGTCAATTCTGAAAAGTTTCTTGATCACTCAAAGAAATAGCTCACCAAAATGCACAGACCTTAAAATACGAAGCCTTGTTGAGTCCCGTCTGAGTTCCTTTCAGGAGGCTAATTCATCTGGGCTGGAAGCAAGGATATGAATTCCAAGTTTCAAGCAGGGAACCACCTCATCATGGAAACAGAAAGGATTCTTCCTTCTTGGTGTCCCTTTTATAACTCTTAGGACAGGATCCACCCTATGGTGGTTCTTCCCACCCTATTCTAATCCAATTGCCCTAGGTGTGTCTCACTCAAAATGTGAGAGTCAGTCAATTTTCATCCTACCTGTCTTTTCTATATGTTTATGAAAACAGTCTGTTTGACTAGCCCAGAATTTCTTTTGTCTCATTCATATGGGGGAGTTCTCTGGTCTATCGTCTTCCTGCCATTTCCAGAAGATGAGAGGCTAGGGTGGAGGATAGTAACTCCAGCATGCCACTGTTCTCAGTAGGCCCTCTGTGTTTATTCCTTTCTGGTGGTAAGGAGCAAAGCAGGACAGATCGGTCAATAAGGCACCTTTTCCCTTGGGATCACATGTGGGTGAAAGCCAGTTGCAGGGAAGTAATGTGAAGGGCGCAGATTCAAGGCTCCATGAGAAATAGGTGTGCTGGGAGTGAAGAGGTGGTTCTTCTGGATAATCTGATACAGTGTCGGGAGCAAGGGACATGGATTTGGGACAGGCACAAACAGTGAATATTGGCAGAATGTCTCTAAACCTAAAGTCTAGTGTGGGACAACTGTAAATGCTACTTCCTCAGAGCTTTTAGATCTCCTACTAACCTAGTTCACTCCTTGGACCCAATGTTTGGAAACAGTGATATTACTGAGTTCCACTGGCATTTCCTGGGACATGGGTCATGCTGGGAGTGCCAGGAGTCCAGGCAAACCCTCTCCCCACCATGAGCAGCTGTGAGTCTGCCAGCCTGCAGGCTGAGAAACAAACATCACATCTTCTCCCCCTCTCCCATTAGCATGTCGGAGGCAGTAATCAGGACGTCCCTTGAGAGGTTGACCCTAGGCAATGTAGTAAGGAGGGGATTTCCTTCTATCATCTCTTTGAAGCCCAATACTTTTATCCATGTTTTGGTTTGTTCTCTAAAATATGGTCTTTTTTTTTAAAGCTGGTTGTGTTTAACTGAGTTTCCACATACATGAAAGTATGCATAGGCATTTTGAAGCAAACAACCGATTCTAGCACAGCCATTAGTGACTTTCTTTTTGTCTGATTTTAAAGACCTAAAACTCCTTTCTCAGACTGTTTGGATTAATTTTATACTAGGTTGCTCAGTATGAATTCTCTGTGTGGCAAGACATGGACAACTATTTGGAAGAAAACAAGAGACATGATAGATAGGGAAGATTTCAGATTATCTAGTTTTGAAATTTATATCTCTTACATTGAGTTATTATGTCCAATTTTGCTCTGTTTTGTTGTGTTTAATTTTATCTCCTTTCACAAAAAATAACAATGCTGATTTGCAGGGTGTGGGCGAACACATCATTAATCCCAGCACTCTCAAAGCTGAGGCAGGAATATCATTGCAGTTTCAAGGACATGTGGGATTAAATACTAACTTGAATTAAAAACCAAAAGAATGAAAGGACAGAGGGAATGAGGGATGGAAGGAAGCAAGGAACGAAAGAAGGAAGCAAGAAAGGAAGGAAGAAAGGAAGGAAGGAAGGAAGAAAACAAGGAAGGAAGGAAGGAAGGAAGGTAGACAGTAAGAAGGGCTACCACTTCAGGGATAGATATCACTGGCTTTCTTCCAAAGCTTCTCTTTTTTCTGTTTTACATACTCAGAGTGTGATCCAGTTTTCCTCCAGCCTCACAAGTGTTACATACCCTCATGTACTTGGGGACCTTATTGGAAGGAGCACAACAGTCCTCATCCCTAACAGATATTTTTTTTTCTCTTTTTCATTTTTATTGTTACCAGGGATAGAACTCAGGACTACAGCTTGCCAGGAAATTGCTTATGCTACTGAGAGAAATCCCCAGCCCATCCCTAACAGATTTTAATACTCTATTTTTATTTGAATGTCTGCAAACTTGTCTATTACACATGGGCAGGTAGAATTCTTTTAATCAGTGCTAACTGGAGAAATAATTGCCTCAATTATTGGTAGGCTAAATTCCTCTTCTGTACCAGGAAAGCTTTCTGCCATGATGTCTACAAAGTGCTTTTAATGTCATTTGTTGTCTCTCCTCATCACTAAGTGCCAGCCTGTACTCAGTATGTGAAGTCCTTTCCTCAAACTGGCCTAAAGTGCTCTGAATTTTTAAAATGGATTTTTTTCTCTTGCATATCGGCTTGAATCTATTTAATGGGTTCATTTATTTCTTAGGTTGTGCTTCAACAGTTCTTGAAAGCTCGCCTTTTTTTTTGGGCTGTGTCTTAACTAACATCACTAAGAAGGTTGTGTATTTTGGTAATCTCTGTAGTTAGTTGTGGTTACTTGAGAGATTACTTGTGTTTTAATATATTCCACAGCCTCATTCAATTGCCTTGTTGCCACATTGAAGTAACCTACCATTGGGTTTTCAAATTTTGCAACCTCATTTCCCCCCAGGTTTGCTTTATTGGCCTGGGTGCCAGAGGATTAGTCTGATTTGTGTGTTCTCATGTCTTTTCTGTTTCAGTTGAATTCTTGGAGTGATACTTGCTAGTTTCCTAACAGTATGAACTGAATTCGGGAAGATAAAACAGAATGCAAACAATCATAAACAATATATGAATTCATGATATGTCCAATCTGTCCTCAAGGGTTAAGATTCAAAATATATTTCAGAGGAAGAAGAGTAATGGCCAAAGGGAAAGAGATTACAATACAACGGAGATGGTAGATGGATCCCACCTACTGGGGGAAACTAATGCAGAAGACTAAATGAGATTTGAAAGAGAAAAATTGAAATCCAAACAAAAGCATACCCACAGGGAAGTTAGGAATCACAGTCACCCGCAGAAATTAAGAACAAAATAAAGGAGAAATTAAAAGCAGATGAATAAAACACGAAAATACCAAACCAAAAAGAAAAATGAATGAAAAAAAAAATCGTTCTCTTCCAGGATTCTCTCTGGATTCATTATTAGATGCCCTATGGATACAGTGTTCTGAGTTCCGCCATTCTTTCCCTTCAAACCAGGCACTGCCTTATGATGGAGTAGTAGACAGCATTAGCCAGCCTGCCTCAAGAGGAGGCTCATTTGAATAAGCTCATTCCAATCAATTTCCATGTGTCTGCACCCAACTAGGGTCTTCTAAAGGAAGCCAGCAGCTGTTCTGGTTAAGGTTCATCTGACTTCACTTCAACATGGGTCCCGCCAAACATTCCCTCCCGCTGAATGACAAAATCCTTCTCCATTCTGTGCCAGACAGTAAAGACCTCGATGTCTGCTGCTTACCTACACTGCTGAGCCTCTCAGCATTGTCCACTGGCCTCACTAGCTGTCACTGTTACCAGGAACAAGAGTCCCCAGGTCCAAACATCTCCCCTCACTAGTGTTGATGATTTCCTGATTCTGCAATAACTAGCATAACCAAAATAGGTTCAATGCCCCTATCAGTGCAATACCCAACAATCATCATTGCTGTGCTCTCTTAGTTAATTTTAGGTTCTGAATTTTATACAAAATATGTGCACTAGTTGTAATTCAGTTGTGTAGATTTTGATACTTCTACATTAAGAAGATACTTTCTTGTACAAAATGACAAGAAAAATAGAAATCATGGGTAATTTGTAATAAATTTTCTTCTCTATAGCTACTTTTACAAATATGAGCATAACACTCACTATTAGAGATACACACACAAACACACACACGCACACAAACACACACACAAAATGTAGTAAAGCTAATGAAATGCAAGCTCTTGAATTTCCTTTTAAATAGGGTAAAATTTTTCCAAAGTTAACCCTTCTTAGAATATTGTATAAGTTTCTTCCTTGGATACACTGTGGAATTCCATTTGCATGGAAAATGTCATCAGCCTTGTAGGAACATTTTGTACATTTTTTCATGAATTCTCTTTGTGTAGCAATGCCTTTTAAACCAGGCTAATGAAAGGTGGGAAAATGCTGCTTTTGTTTCTAATCCAGCCCTAGAGCTATGTTAGAACTGAAGGGGCAAAAATTTTTCCACATTCTTGTGTACAGATACAAGAGTATTGCCTGGCATATACCTTGTGATACATAGTAAGTTGCGGTTTATTGAGATTACAAGATGACAGTAGGATGAATTACAAGTGCAAAATGGAAAGTAAAGAGGAATAGAAACTTTAAAGATTCAGGGTTACAGTACCTAAGAATTTAGACCGAGATGTCTTCCACAGAGGTGTGATAAGGCTAATCCATGTGCCTGCTTTCAAGGTCAGGTACATTTGGCTCCTGTTGCTTCCCATTTTGGTTAGAAAACTCTAAATCTGTTCCATGTTTTCCTAGGGTTGTTGATTTTCTGAGTGAGAGATCACTACATGCTAACTATACACATAAATAATCAGTCATATTGTGATTAGACTTGAATGAAGGAAACGAAATGGTTCATGCAAGTTTACTATTTGTCACTAGTCTCCTACCACTTTCATCATCCGGGACTCCTGGATAGATACTTTATTTATTAGTGTGTTGTTTGCACATAAGAGTTGGAAGTGTCACAAGATGCCTTCACTAGTAGCTCGAGAATGTGTGACACACAACTTTGGATGATACAGGTAAATTGGTGCCTCCGGGGACTTTGGCAGGCCTTTCAGTGCTTGCCAAATGCAGTTGGTGAATTCATTGCTTCAGAATACCTGTAAAGTTATGGCAAATTCTTGTTCATCTTCTGTCATATATTTTTCTTAGAATTAAGCAGTCAAACAAGTGGTTTCTTCAAAAGAGTCTTCTGCTAGTAATGTTGGATTAGCATTAACCCCCATGGAATCCCAACATGGCAGAGGGATGATTGTTTTCTGGAAACGGGAGCACTTCAGCCTTCAAGAGTTCCCAACTGTGACACCAACTGAGGGAATGAACAGGCATTCGCAGTCCTAACACCTAATGCTTAACAGCTGGCATGTCATTCTCACAAGAGTGTTAATATAGCGCCATATCTCACTGGTTGCCCTTCAGCCACTTAAGCTGCAATTCTTGCCTGGTTCCTCTGTAGAATTGCAAGGAAAACATTCTTTTGGTCAATTTGTACATTCAATATAACTTCTGTTTCTATGAAGCACTTGACAATAAGTCACTGTAACACATATTTGTACTCAGAGAAGCTGAGAAGACCTGTGCTTGCCCTGAAAAATCTTCTGCCCTAATCCACTTTGCTCCATTCATTTCACTATGAGGAAATTACACTTTGTAAGTTATTTTCAATGTTTTTTGTTGTTCATTTGATGCAGTGATAGAAACTCATACTTTTTAATTTCCACATTTCATGTAAAAGATAATAATTATTTACATATTTTGAAAGAAAAAAATTAACATTTGAATGTTCTCCCTTGTAGGATGAACAGCGATTCCCAAGCAACTGGGATGACTCCTACATAATCAGCAAGTCAGGTATGGACAGCTGAGGAATCTGTGTTCTGAAAGTTTTCACACAAAAAATTAATAAAAATTTTCCTTTTTTCCTCCTTTAAAGCTTTTCCTGTTTTATTCTCTTTAATGAGGAGGAGAGAATGGACGTGAAATAAAACTTGAGGGTGATAATACCAAAACACATATTCCCACAACATCTAAGAACCATAGTTCTTTTCAAGAAATATGCACACAGAGTGAATTATTTTGTCTCATTTTCAACAATCTCAGCCGGCTTGAGGTGAGAAAGGGACACTTCTAGGAGTAAGGACACAAGAATAGGACATATGTATGCCAAATATCTGCAAAAGTCAGGCAGTAAACTGAGCCAAAGAAGCACTTGCCTGGCAATAACCAGGTTGTGAGTTGTGAGTTCAAGCCATGATAAATACTGAGAGAGATAGAGATAGATAGACAGAGATACAGACAGACAGATAGACATATATATATATATATATATATATATATATATATATATATAGAGAGAGAGAGAGAGAGAGAGAGAGAGAGAGAGAGAGAAAGAGAGAGAGACCAAACTCTTAGTGATTTTACTGCATAGTTGTTATACAGGTTGTTATCCCATATTGACATTCATGAAGATTTAAACAACCAGCACATAAAGGGTTACCAGCTGTAAGCCCTGATTAAACAAATGTTTTGAAATCTGTACCTGTTCAAGACAAGGGGATCCATTTCTTTATATAATTTTAGAAGCTCTGAGCCATTACAGATTCTAGGTGATTCCAGAGTAACACCACTAATGATTTTTACAAAAGCCCAAACTTTGAGATGAAACCCACTACGTTTTCATTTTTAATTTTAATTCTATTCTTCATAATACCATAGAAACATGTATTCTATTCTTATGAATATTAAATGTTCACAGTGAGAAAGCTCTTTTTGAGATTTATAGTGTGAATTTGCCAACAGCCATTTCTCAGTGCAGTTGTAAGTAATAAATTTTGCTTCCTCAACATGAATTCCTCTGAAATACATAAAACACTTCTACTTTTAATTCTCTTTCATGCCATTTTCGTAAATCTGAGCATTTTCCTCTCTTTTTTCTCCAGGACCATGATTGGACTGCTCGCTCAGAGGCCTAGATTTTGCGGGAATGTGCTGCAGTGCTTGTGCTGCCTGTCTGTGTCACTGGGACAGGACAACATGAGCAAAGACTTGCATTGTGTGATTGTCCTTTGGCTTCAGCAGCCTGAGTTCTGGGTCATTTATTTCTGCCATCTACTATGTTAATTAGTGACATTGTACATCCACTGTGTTCATCCCGTGGATGGGCCTGAAATCATCAGCACACTGAAATTTTTCTTAGCTTCTGAATCTAACATACAGAAAAAGGATGAGGAGCCAAACAACTGTACAAAGTAAGATTCAGGTTTATTTACAGAGAAAAGTGAGGGACAGCAAAAAGCCCGTGTTACAAGTGGGGTGCCCAGGGATGCATGATGGTGCAGAAAGCCAGGAAGGAGTCTTGCATTTACAGAGTGAAGTTCATGGACCCTGCCTCTAAGGGTAGCCCCACCCCAGGTCTGCCTTCAACATTGACAGGAGTTTTGGTTTCCGTTTGGCATCGACACTGTAAAAACCCACTTTGCTCAATATTATAAAACACAGATTTGAAAATGCATGATACACGACTTCTAAATTCTCAGTATCGCATTTCCTTTTTCTGACCTTAAGACGGTGGTCCCTTCTCTCCCCTAGAGAGGCACAATTTAATATTTCCACATAGAAGAGTGAAGTTTCCACGGATTTCCCTAGCATATTATGGTTCAGGGGCAGCAAATGTGGCCAGGGTTTTGGGAAGATAAATGGACATGTGGGATCTCAGGACAGTCTCACACGCTTGCATGGGGGTACCATGAATGCACACTGCATGGAAACCAGAGAGTGATAGGCTTCGGCCACCAAGTGAGGGTGGGACACCACCATGGCCTTCCACTCAGAGGTCTCCAGGATGTCAGAAACATGAAAATTGATGAAATCCAGTGTCCGGGTTTTCAACTGAGGTGCACTGTGGAGGTCAGCCAAGATGAGGATTTCCACGGCATTCTCCACAGAGAGGTTGCTGCACAGGTGGTTCTCACACATGAGCTTCAGGCGCTCCAGACCAAACCTGCTTGCAGCCTCCAGCAGTTCAGTTGCCATGATCCCTAGGTTTGGTGCCTTTCCAGTGTACATAAAGTATATCATTTCCTTAAAAACTTCAGGATCCATGTCACTGATTTCAACACGATTCTTTTTGCTTCCTTGCTTTTCATGTTCCAACAACGCCATGAAAACTGGAGAGCGAGCTGCTAAGATGGCTTTGTGAGCCTGGAATTCCTGGCCAGCCACACACAAGCAACAGTCTGAGAGCTGGGATCGCTCCCACAGTCCTCCTAGATCCTCTGCCAAGCAGCCCTCAGGAACCTTAACCAGCTTCCTAATATTCTGGCTGGAATGATTGGTGGGATCTTGTGCTACTTTCACTTCACAGAAGAAGGAAAGCTTGTCATTGGAGAGAAGCCCATTGTTTGGATCCAAAAGAAACTCTCTAAGGATGAAATGTTTGAATCCCCAGTCCTTTCCTCGCACAAATGTATAAGCTTGTGGACTTGAGAGCACCTTGGTTTTCTCTCCTTTGGCATTCAGAATGGAAAAGGTGAATTTTGCATGAGCTACCCTCCTTGGACAGCAGATCATTCCCAGGTATAAGCACACATAATCTTTGCTTTGTTCATCAAGACCATTTGGGTAGAGTCGTAAGCACCATTTCACTTGATCATTTCCTTCAGCTGAAAAGATGGAACTTTGAATGCAGTCATCTATTTCCTTTAGGCAAAATCTAATGTTATCAATGGTCCACAAAAAGGACACGTTCACTACTTTGATGTCTGTGGTGTACCTGCTGTCCACTGTGGGCCCGTGTGACATTTCTGCTGGGCCTGCGGTACTGGAAACCCTTAACATCAGCAGAGTGAAAGTGCAGCAAGCTTGTCAAGTCACAGGAATCAAATTTCTTCTTCACCAGATGGCACAAATTTCACTGCAGTCAGCACTTCCAAGACAGGCAGGGCAGTATGGCAATCACAAGTAGAGAGCCTAGTTTATAGATTAAAAGAAATACTTATTTAGAAATAAGCTGACTGAAATTTCCTAGTATATAAGTCAATTCTGAAAAGTTTCTTGATCACTCAAAGAAATAGCTCACCAAAATGCACAGACCTTAAAATACGAAGCCTTGTTGAGTCCCGTCTGAGTTCCTTTCAGGAGGCTAATTCATCTGGGCTGGAAGCAAGGATATGAATTCCAAGTTTCAAGCAGGGAACCACCTCATCATGGAAACAGAAAGGATTCTTCCTTCTTGGTGTCCCTTTTATAACTCTTAGGACAGGATCCACCCTATGGTGGTTCTTCCCACCCTATTCTAATCCAATTGCCCTAGGTGTGTCTCACTCAAAATGTGAGAGTCAGTCAATTTTCATCCTACCTGTCTTTTCTATATGTTTATGAAAACAGTCTGTTTGACTAGCCCAGAATTTCTTTTGTCTCATTCATATGGGGGAGTTCTCTGGTCTATCGTCTTCCTGCCATTTCCAGAAGATGAGAGGCTAGGGTGGAGGATAGTAACTCCAGCATGCCACTGTTCTCAGTAGGCCCTCTGTGTTTATTCCTTTCTGGTGGTAAGGAGCAAAGCAGGACAGATCGGTCAATAAGGCACCTTTTCCCTTGGGATCACATGTGGGTGAAAGCCAGTTGCAGGGAAGTAATGTGAAGGGAGCAGATTCAAGGCTCCATGAGAAATAGGTGTGCTGGGAGTGAAGAGGTGGTTCTTCTGGGTAATCTGATACAGTGTCGGGAGCAAGGGACATGGATTTGGGACAGGCACAAACAGTGAATATTGGCAGAATGTCTCTAAACCTAAAGTCTAGTGTGGGACAACTGTAAATGCTACTTCCTCAGAGCTTTTAGATCTCCTACTAACCTAGTTCACTCCTTGGACCCAATGTTTGGAAACAGTGATATTACTGAGTTCCACTGGCATTTCCTGGGACATGGGTCATGCTGGGAGTGCCAGGAGTCCAGGCAAACCCTCTCCCCACCATGAGCAGCTGTGAGTCTGCCAGCCTGCAGGCTGAGAAACAAACATCACATCTTCTCCCCCTATCCCATTAGCATGTCGGAGCCAGTAATCTGGACATCCCTTGAGAGGTTGACCCTAGGCAATGTAGTAAGGAGGGGATTTCCTTCTATCATCTCTTTGAAGCCCAATACTTTTATCCATGTTTTGGTTTGTTCTATAAAATATGGTCTTTTTTTTTAAAGCTGGTTGTGTTTAACTGAGTTTCCACATACATGAAAGTATGCATAGGCATTTTGAAGCAAACAACCGATTCTAGCACAGCCATTAGTGACTTCCTTTTTGTCTGATTTTAAAGACCTAAAACTCCTTTCTCAGACTG